AAGAAAAACAGAACTCGGAAAAAGGCCTCCGCTCCGAGGTCGGAAGTACTCTGGATTGGATTGGCGGATACGAGAGACTCTGAGCACGTCTTCTGCATACAGTACTTGCTTCCATCTGTTATCCCGAACTTACCTCCAGCTGGGCCGCCCCGGCGAATCCAGCCCACTCCCCAACTGCCTACGCAATTCGATTCCCATACCGCCCATCCACTCAACGCGGGCCATAATCCGGCGTTAGCCTTGCCTCACTCCCGTATTTAACCGTCCATGCCCTTGTTCTTTCTTTTTTTGGTCGCACGACAGCCGCGACGACTACGCACAATACTGCCAGCGCATCGAATTCGAGTCGAACGTTCGTCATTGTCAGGGCCAGCCAGCCAGCGAAAAAAAAATTGAACCACAAACCAAATCAAAATTCCAGTGGCCACGGAAAATTATGCGCAATCTCTTCAGTGATGGTTGTCTTGTCTGTGAAGCAAAAACTCAGCCTTGATGACCCCTATCCGAAACGAACCATTCCTTTTTTTTTTGGCTTTTCCGATTTATACTCCTGCTCGCTTACACCTGCCTGATCCTGGTTCTCGCACCGACAACTCGCGTCAAGTCCTTTCATGAGTTCAAGTCGGGCATTCCTTGCGTCCATGAGCTGTTTAAAGAATTAATCATTCTCTCTTCCATCTGTTAGAAAATCAAACCATCTCCCGCTCAGTGACACAATCCCGATCCCGACGACCGTCAATCCCAGCTTAGCGTACTCGAACGTTCGCCAAATATCGTATCTCCAACCGACTCAGGAGATTATTATAAACACACGCCCCCAAGTCCCGCAAGTGGCGCAATAACGGTGTCAGCTCAGCGTCCAGTGACTCGGAACGCGAAACTTCCCCCTCTCCCCTGGATGGACTGATCGGGTGTCTCCAACTGACTTGAACAAAAGAAAATCGCCCAACACGGGCTTTTCTTGTTTCGTCTGATCCATCATCCTATCGAGGTTTCTTTTTTCTCCGGTGTACTGGCATCAACCGGAATCCGGTCCTCGACAGGAGATTCACCATATACGTGCCTGCCCTTCTGCGCACGGCTCCGGCCATGCAGCTCTTCTTGCGACGCGACACGACTTGAAACTCTCTTCCCATCGCATCCCATCGTCGCACACGATCAAGAAAGTTGACAACTTTATCCGATGCGAGGATTGCTGTGGATTCGCAATGCAAGCAAGGCAAACGTGCGCAGCTGCGCCTCGACTCGCTTGTGCATATATGCATGTACGCCGGGGCCACCGTATCGATGGGATGGCGTACGACACGCAGATTGCCAGACAGAACATTTGACAACGACGCGGAAGCAAAATCTAAATCCAAAATCAAACCCAATCTCTCTCCTCTCTGCTTCGACCACGTATACGTATACGTATAACGCAACCCAACGCTGTTTCCATTCCTAGCTATTCTGGGATCTTATCTGGTCTGTTCTTTGTCCTGCAGGCTGCCAGTCTCTGAGTTTGAATATGTCATGATAACCACTAATGGAGAATCATTTCCTCTGCTGGCAACCTGGCATTTGTTCTCGATAGAGGTCGACGCCGGAGGACGCGGTCATACATACACTTCAGACTTCAAACAATCCTTGGCATAAGTACTTACCACGGCCAAGGCCACCTTCAATTTCCGGTGCCGGACACGCGTCTCTATTGCATTCGCTGGATTTTCCATCACCTTCCGAATCCTTCGCATCGTGCCTTTCTGTTGGCACACCCAAAAATGACAATCCCCGTTGTCTCGTCAAACGTGTGTTGTATATCTGTACGCCGTACGCCGGGGCCAACACCAGATACAACACCACCATGATTTCTCCGTCGAATCTGATTCCGCGATTTCAGCATCCAGATAAGCCTTGCTTAGCGCTGAGCGGCGTCGCCAATATGGGGCTACCGAAAACGATGATCAAAACGCGATCTCCGTCCTAATTTCCGTGTCCGAAGCACTGATGCGCGCAAGATTAAGTTAGCTTCCGCTGTCAATGACACAGTGCTGCTGATGCGCTGCCATCGTGAGTCGGTTCTTTTTGGAGATCTCTCTCAGACTCCGTCGGACCACGATCTTATGTTTCTGTTCGGCTGTTCTGTTGGTGGAGCTGGAGCCCCCAATTGCAATCCGTTATCTTTCTTCTGCGCTGGGCAGGGCTAACTGGGGGTGTGAGTACTTGTGATACGGACGCCGGGGCAACCTCGTAGCCTCGAACGTGCCCGCGCTGGGCCTATCATCGTCGCCAGGCATCGGCATCGTCGTCAACAGTACGCGTACGCGGCCACCACCGTTCCGTTTCCTCACTATCTATGGCGTGCTTGATATCTCTGAGGGCGCTAATTTGGCTACTAGTTCGGCTAATTTTTTGGAAGGAGAACCTCCGCCAAGTAGGAAGGAAGTCCTTCGCCACGGCGCCCAACCCCCGATATCACCGTCTGACCTTGTTTCTTTTTTTTTTTTTTTTTTTTTTGGCTTTGACGTTCCCATCCCATCCATTCCATCCCTCTCTCTCAACTTCCTGACTGCAAGGTTAACTGGGCGTGGCAGCGCCCAAGTAAGTATATTTTGACTTTTGAATAAATCACACACAGGAAAGAGGCTCTCTGAAGTGTGCACGAATCGAAGCGCTCGGAAGTACGCGCGCTGGACCCACAAACCCGACTACAAACGTGCCTGAGCTAGGCGGCGTCCGAGGCGAGGACCGACAGAACTGATTCCCGAAGCTGGTTCGGAGATTCGGATGCAGTCGGCTATGGAGGATTTTTTTTTCATTTTTTTTTCAACACATCAAGTTCAACTAGTGGGCGGGCAGAAATAAAACAGTACACTAATAGCGACGAACGTTACCCTCCTCTACGGACCCTTAAACAAAGGAATGTAACACGTCTGTGCGCGTTATTGCCATTGCAGGTGAGTATTTTATGCTTGCCATGCGCTGGCAAGGGATGAGGCGAACGTTCCTTATCCGGCATGCACCATGATGTTTTCATTCCACATTTCCACCAAGGAGATACGCAGAGAGAGATATGATATTCACTTACAGCTACACCCCTATGTGCGCACGGTTTCAGAGATAGGAAATACGAAGGCAAAAAGGCGCGAACGTGCTTTAATATGTTGTCAGCATTCGCACAACATTCGTTCGGGGTCTCTGTCGGGCGCGGCCGCGATATGAAGGTGAGTACGTACATGCGCAGCGCTGTAAGTTTTTCAGTTCGATTTGATGATGAATGCCGACAGACCGACGTTCGCAATGCCGACAAGGTTAAATTAATATTAATCCTCCACCGCTCCTGCCTCGGAGCCTAGAACGCGTATGCCGTACCGTCTAGGCACGGGATCGGGTGTAGTCAGCGCGCACAGCGATGGCCGGTGTCTTATTGAGATGAAAATCAGGTTACCATTGGCAGTTCAACACCGCAGTGACTCACTGCCAAGGATAGATCACAGCGCAGCAGGTCGGCAGCGGAACTGAATAGATTCGCTGCAATTCAATACAATTCGTTGAAATAAATACAACGGTTTAGAGGAACAGCGACACGGGCTCCAACTTGAAGCGACGTACGGTTTTTTCAACATGTTGAATTTTTCCAAGGCCAAGTTCAACTTGGCGACCACTTGGCATACTGTTGTCAACGGCAGAGAACCTAGAGAGAGATTAAATCCCCCCTGGAAAGCCTAAGTTCCCCGCGTTCGCCCTGAGCGTAAAGTGCTGTAGCCGCCACCGCTTGGCGCTGCGACCATCTGACACCCAGTCCCTTTTGCACCGACAATAAATTGCCCACTGCAGACCGACGGGGAGATTGACCGACGCTGAAGCGCTATGAGACCCTGGACAGTAAATCTCTTGTGCGCACACGAAGGCACACGACCACTGAACCAAGGCAAAGTTACTTAGTTAGGCGCGAGTCGATCAGCGTCGGCGATCATGATCGGCGGGCGCGTGGTCTGTGGCGATGAGGGCGTGTGACTGGCTGGGTTCAATTGACGGATAGGGCCTGAAGAAGTTTGCGAGGCGTGTGCCTGATTTGGCTGGCTGGTATGAGACAAGGAGGCGCTGATTGGGCGCTAATGCCTTTTTGAATTCTAAATTGTACGAAAGGGCTAATGGGCGAGGCGAGGGAAAAGGAAAGGCGCAGGTATCTTTGCGGGATGACCGTCAGCGTACTAGTTGATCATGAGCCGAATCTGGGCGAGACGTATCTGGTCAGGTGTCCTGCCGGAAATAAGGGTCTAGAAAAATCGAGTTTCACCATCGCCTAACAGGTCAGGTTGGATACAGTAGAGAACTTGAACGGTTGAGAAGCGCTATCTTGAAGGGGCTTGACTCGGAGCAACTCTAGACCGGTGCTCCAGTCCTCCAGGCAGACAGCTGTGATCTGCCGCCAACTAGTAGGAGTGAGCCGAGGAATGGCTCCCGACTGCTTTTCAGCAGTCCTTACAATACTAGAAGCGCCAAAAACCGGGCCTCAAGTGGATGTCACCTGAGGAATGGAGGGTGCCCACTATCTCCCGCGGGGCTCGAAGAAGTTCCGCCCGCTGCCAGTAGAACTCGTCCATTCCACAGCAGTTAAACATCGCCTCGCAAGAAATAACGAAGGCTAGCGGAGCTCACCAGTGCATTGTCGCTAGTCAACATGACCATCCATGTGCACTCCCCGGGCTTGGCTACCGGACATTGACCAGCTGCGGGAATTCTATTTCGCCCCTCCAACTCCATGCTTGCGCGCTTTTAGCTACTGCGGTGGGGAGGAAGTCCCACTGGCACCCTTTCATGTCATCCGCGAAGCCTCGACTACATCACGCTCCGCAGACTGCTTGGACAGGTATGCCAAGAGTCCAGGAAAAAGAGTGAAGAACGAGGCCGTCACAAGGTTGAAAAACAGGCGAGTTGTTTGGTGCTATGAGGCAAGTCAAACACAACATTGATTGATCATCAAAGAATAGGACCACACAAAAGGTGGATAAAAAGTATTCCCGCTAGCCGATTTGAACGACTGACCTCGTCATTTAACACCTCTTCTAGGAGAAAATACTAGTGACGCGCTCTACCAACTGAGCTAAGAGGGACCTGGACTATGCTGGCACATCAGGCTATCTACTCACCAAAGATTCCATTGCCGTCGAGCAGGGAACCCAGGTGAAGCAAATCAAGAAAGCTAGTGTTGCCCCCGACGGTCCTACCGAAAGACATACAATGGCAAAATAATACATCTGGTGATTGGTTCAGGGCTGACCTCAATGCCTCTTCTTGCAGTGAAATCCTGCTCGTGATTACAACAGGCGAGGCACGAGCACCATATTGTTGTAGCGTCCGTCTACTATGAGAGACCAGTGATTACTTGCATCCAGTATATCTGTCGACACACCAGTTTCAAACAGCACTCCAAAGGATTTGATCCTGAGGTGCACAGCATCGGATCGCATTTGCTCGAATACATCCGCAAAAATCAAGCAAAAATACCATATACTAGGAACGCGAGCGTTGGTGATCGTATTTGGATGTTACAGTTCACATCTGTAGTCTTTCTCCCTTGATGTTCGTTTCTGTGACCTGGTTTCTCTCTCTTTCCTCCTTACGCTCTTTAACAAACATTTGTTGAATGGGCATAACATGCAGGGATGGACAGTGAGCTTTCAGAAGATGATTACTCGTCATCTACAACAGGGTCACCATTGACCTTGGCAAGCAGCAGATCTGTGAAGAACTTGGCCACGTCAGCGGAGGTCCCGCAAGCCTCAAGAACTACAGGTCAAACATTTAGAGAGACTCAATCTGACTGGACTACAAACATACTTGGAGCACATTCTATTTCCGAAATATCGAATGTAAACAGGGTTTTCCAGGCTTGTGGGAGCTTCGGTGGAATGAATCCGTGCCCTTTTGGGACAACAAAAACAAAGTAATTGCGGCCTCGTTTGGGTAGCCGACGGCGCAAAAGGATCAGGCCTTTGGCACTGAGGGTGTGCTCTCGTGCCACTGTCATCTGAAAGACAACACAACAATCCAGTAGAATGATATAGGAATCAAACACGGGATTATTGGATTCGGCTGGGATATAATACAGTCATTCCATGGTCCTTGCATCAACTTTTTCTTTCCACATATTTGCGGCCAATTTTGAACAAAGATCATAAAACTAAAAGTAGGATATATACTCTGTGAACCTCTCTTTGATATGTACCATACACAATTTTGAGCTTCAAAGTTGTTCTGCTGCAGCGGGGCAATCGTTGTGATGCAAGGACCAGGTATCATTTTACCACACAAAAATAAATATGTATTTGAACTCCGATGAGCTTCAAGCCTGATAATGGTCATTTTCATGTTCTGGGGAGTGTTCTAGGTGAGATTGGAAGCTATTTTACTATTCATGTGATTGCCTGGGTGAGTCCTTCATGTATTTTGGTGCTCATGCAAGGACCATGGAAAGACTGTAGATATGATCGTGACTTGTCGACGAGACCTTGTCACCCAAAAAGTATATGTGGGTTTTGTGGGCAATAAGTGTTAGGTTGGTGAGAGCTTCGTTGTCAGACTTTCTGAGCGCAACAGAGCGCTTCCCATCGGCCAAAAAAACGTGTGAAAAGGCTTCGAATGCAACGCCACGAAAGGAGCGGCCACGATCGCATTTGAGAAGAGTGTAGAGCTCGCTCAGTTTCACCCGTTCGTTGAGGACACGCTGATGGACTAAGGTATGCCACACATGCTGACTTGTGATACAATTTATCATGCCGTCGTCGCACATGTACTGAGGGCTCTGCTTGTCAGAAAAAGGGTGGGTACGGAAGGTGGTGACGATGCTGTAGGACTGATTGAGACTTGCGTCAGAGGGGGAGGCCGCAAGCATGGCGACCGCGTCTTCCGAAAGATTCTTGATCTGTGTGACAAAATTCCGCTGGTAGTTGTCATTGCCCATGCGGAGGACGGAGAAGATGGTGCGTATGTTTAAGCCCCACTTTTCACTCACGGCCTGGACCTCCTCAATGGTGACAGATGGGTGTTCAATGACGACGCTGCACCAATTGTGAGTCGAACCAAGTAAAAAGTGGGAGCAAAAAATGAACATGGAGTGGATGTCCTCGATAGAAGGTGGTTGCATGACGAAAGTCAGCGCCATTCGGTATTTCAGCCAATTTTTATGTCGCTCTCGGTGGGGGAACGCTACATGGATTGCGGAACGCCACCGTGTTTTGATTCACAAGGCCAGAGGGCGGTTGGGATTCGTCGTCCGTATCGATGAGGAGGGGAACACCTTCAAACATGTGGTGTTTCAAAATTTCCAGGTGGTCGACCTGTGCCCACCTCAGGAGAAAACATCCTTCCGGAAGATGGACGCTTAGCATCTTCGACTTGTAGTAGAGCACGGGCTTTGCTTCATAGATCCTACGGACAAAAAAATAATCTGCGAACATGGACTTTCCTGCGCAGGTGTCACATATTTTGTTTGCGGAGGGAAAAAATCGACTCACCAGCTCCGGGGTTGCCGGTAAGGACAACACCGCCGCAGCCTTCTTCGAAATAGTGGGACCGGCGCGATAGAAGGGCCAGGATTCGATTCGCCATGTATTGATATTGGGGAGAGATCTTGAGGCGTTGATGAGTCGATTTCAGGGACATGAGTTCAGGGACGATCCATTCGACAGCATTCATGTCGAGGTTAGGATCATCATTAGCAAGATTCCACGCGTTGGCGTGTAAAACCTTTCGGTCAGAACTAATAGACTCGAAGGAGTTTTCCCTGATGAATGCAATCCAGGCCTCGCGAGAAAGAGTGGTAATGGGATCAAGGCGCGCGCGTTTCTAAGCCTGAATGTGAGCACGGAAAGTCATATATAATTGAGATGATTTACTCGAGGCGGTGAATCCGTCGCTTCTGGACTAATGTCAGTGGAGCGAGAGTTCAATGCATCGGAAGTGACTTACGATGTATCAATCGTGAAGCGCTCGGCAGGACAGCCACACAAACTATCAATATTGTGCGCTCCTCCGGCCTGTTAAGGTCGAAGTCGTCGTTGTACTGTGGTGGCAAGAAACAAGCAGCAAAGCCCCTGTATCAAACGACAAACAAACATCTGAGTAGGCGGAACGATCGGCCCGTAATTATTTCCTTTCCAAACAAGAGAGGACAGCGAAAATCCAGCACGCAGGTTGGAATCGATCTTCACTTTAAATATCTTCTTTGCATTGTATTTTCCTCCCCAAACGCGAACTGCTTGAATATTTGAAGTTGGCGGCGCGCTCCATCACATATACGGCTCAGCGTTCCTCGGTAGAAACCGCCCCTCTGCCCTGCCGAAGTATTCTACAGATGATTCTTGAGTCAAAGCTTCGTTGGAAGGAAATTTTCGCTCCCCAATGCGCAAGCGTACAATAGCCAGCATTCGATTATTTCATTGCTTGAAAAAAATTCAGAGTACAAACACAGTTTATAAAGACAGCAGCGGAATACAGGTCCATCCAGAAGATCGTACATGACAAAGATAATACATGGCGTCCGGGGAACGTCAAGGCGCGTCGGATGCCAGGGCCATCGCCAGCGTGCGCGAAGTACGCGGCGCTTCTGCAGTCGTAGACACCGAATGAGCCATCGCTAGCGTTCGGGAAGTGCGCGGTGCTTCTGCAGTCATAGATACCGAACGAGCCAATGGTGCGGATGTCCGCGGGCGAGAAGAAGTAACAGTACGACTTGTGGGACGAGCAGAAGCTGGCGACGAGGGTGTTTGCTGGGAAGCATGACGACGATTGTTCGATGGACTTTTCAACGGAAGCTTCGGGGCTTTCGTCGCGGGTCCGGGGGCAGGGTCTTTGGACGGGGTGTCGGTGGCGCGCATGAAGTGCTCCGCGATGGGGAGGCGCATGGTAGGAACGTACTCTGAGGCAGCGCGCCGACTGTGGCCGGCTGTGAGAGGTGTGCTCCGGGCAACTGAGGTGGATGCGGAGCGAGGATGTCCCACAGAGACGAGGGGAGCGACCTTTGACATCCTCCACGTAGAAGATTTCGAAACCAGTTTTGAAGGGCTATCTTTGGGGGTGGAGCGGGAGGAGATGAGGATAGAGTCAGTGACTCGGGTTTGCGCGCCGTCGACGCCGTTCGGGCGGATTTGGATGGCCCAGAAGGAGTCACCGTCGTACTCTCTGCGGACGCTAGCGGGCTAGAAGGCCGCGACACCAAGACTGGTTCCTCATCGTCGCTGCCCGAACTTTGATCGCGCCGCCAGGGTCCACGGGCGGTGGTCAACGTGTGCCGCAAGCTCCGAAATGCGCTCGGCACGTTGGACAACGTCGCACGTCTCTTCGATTTCTCTGGACTTGACGGTTCGGGCTCCGAAGGGGATTGCGAGTCTGGGGGAAAGTAAGTCGGTGCAGTCATCTCAAGCGCGAGTGGACTCGGACGTACCCCATGGCCTGAGACTAGTTGGCGCGGGATTATTCCCAGCCACCATCGGTCCATACTGCGAGCCTGGCTGACCAGTGTAAGAGTTGCCACTACGGTCGCTGAAGTAGTAACACCCAGTGTCCGCGTCGTATCCCGTCCGACGCATCCCTGCCGGAAGACGATAAGCATCCTACAGAATAAGCAGCAGTTAGTTATCTTCAAATGGATGCGAACTCGGGTAAAACCTCGTCGTATTGCGTCCATCGTCCCATGGTTTAGTGGAGAGCGTAGAAACTGGGCCTAACGAGATGGACGTGTGAAGCTTGAAGCTTAAATCAGGATTTCGAGGTCGTGTGCATGGTTGCGATCAGCAGTGCTTGAAGTGTCAGCGGCAAGATCAAAGGCGAGGAGACACTGTGACCGCTGACTGCTCGCATGAATACAAACCTCGCATTCGTAGATCGGGAGTCGTGAAGAGTCGTGAATTGTCGTGAATCATCTGTCATCATCGACGTACGTAAAATGTTGGATGAACTCCCGGGCACTGTAATAGATCCAGATGTCTGCTTGAAAATGGGGGGGGGTCTGTGGGTAGTTATACGTGGTGTTGAACTGTTGTCAACTAAGTAGTATTTGTGTTCGATCTCTGAAGTATGTTGGATACCTGGGCTACAAGCAATCACTGCGGAA